GAGTCTTTTCTGGGGATCCACCAGCACCCATCAAGAATAGTTCTCTCAAATACTTCAGTCTTCTTTACTATAAATACACTTTTCTGGGGCTGGGGGTACAGCTCAGTGGTAGAGCTTTTATAGAACATACAAAGACCTGGATTTGTTCTAAGTACTGCGAGAAAATACATAATACTCTGCAACAGTGGCTCACATCTGTAATACTAGCAGAGTTTTTAGGGTCTCAGTTTGAAGACAATCTGTACAGAAAAATATCTTAGATTCTCTATTTTCAAATAGCTTGAATCTCTAGGAATATAGAACCTTGGCTCCACTGGTGTGCAAGAAGAAACTGAGCAAGAGCAAGAGCTTAAAGCCCTGAGATCAAGCCCCAGAACACGCACACATACACACACACACACACACACACACACACACACACACACACACACACACAGATATACACATTCTCTCATACACACAGATAAAATAAAATAAAATAAGGAAAAAGAAAAGAAAAGAAAAAGAAATGGGGAAAACCCTTACATAACACATAAAATATTTTGCCTCAGTTTTTATCCATTGTTATTCCTTTAATTCATAACAAAAGTTGATCCCTACTACCTCAAATTCTTCAAATCCAGTATTTGTACTGTTGTTTCTGGATGTAGAAGTGGTTGAAAGCATCTCTTTTTTAACATGTATTTTTATTGTAAAGATACTGTACAGAGGGGTTACAGTTAGATGAGTAAGGTAATGAGTACATTTCTATCAAGAATTGTTAACCCCTTCTTTGTTTTTCCCCTACCTTCCCTTCCCTCCACACCTCCCCACCTCTTCCCTTCCTCCCAAGTTGTAAACTTCATTTTCAGCATAGTGTCATGTATATCTCATATAATAGCTATTTAATTGTACAACTCAGTTAATCATCTAGAATTAATATCCTCTGAAAGATGTCTGGAGCTAATATCCTTGATACTCTCTATACCTTAAAGATGGAGGTATCAATTATGAGAAGGCCTCCATTTTCTATTTTTTTCTCATTTATTTTCCTGACTCACTCATATAATACCAAGATTTTATAATTTCCAGAATTGCAACTTTTTGTCTCTTTCCTCCATTCTATAAACACATTCTTACATCATAACATAAAATCATAAACAGACCCCAGTATTTCTGAAATGTTTCTGGGTCTTATTCTCCAAGTATGCCACAGGGACTGTTTCCTATCCTTAATGTACTTCATTGCTTGCTTTCAGATCTACTTCGGTATATGCCATTTTTAGCTTCAAAAGAATATTTCCGGCAGTTCCTCCAGGTAAAACTACTGTGATTTTTTTCTCAGAAAAATATTAGAATTTCACATCACCACAAAAGATTTGGACTCTTCATCATAGAAGAGTCAGAGTTAACTGTGCTTTACTCAGTTGTTTTCCCACAACACTTAGTTCATATTCATATTCTAAGAATTATCAAATGTAACATTTCAAAGTCACTTATCTACTCAAAATTAAATTTAGGTTCTTTAATATTACAAACTCAGTCTATAAAGTGTGCTTCTTTTAGCACAAAGAGCATAGTGGTATTGGGTACAGAGTCTCACATCAGACTTCAGAGGCAGAGCTTATGTAGATTGGAGTTTTAGGCCAGCCTAGGAAAAATATTCATTAGACTCTATATCAACCAATACAAATGATAGGAGTGGTGATGTACGTATCATTTAGCTATGGAGTAAGAGTGAATAGGATCTTGGTCCAGCTAGGAAGGCATAAATTAAGACCCTATTGTCAGGCAAGAAGGAAGGAAGGAAGGAAGAAAGGAAGGAAAGAAGGAAGGAAGGAAAGAAGGAAGGAAGGAAGGAAGAAAGAAAGAAAGGAAAGCAAGAAAAACAAGCAAGCAAGCAGGAAAGCAAGGAAGCAAGAAAAGAAGGAAGGAAGGAAGGAAGGAAGGAAGGAAGGAAGGAAGGAAGGAAGGAAGGAAGGAAGGGAGGGAGGGAGGGAGGGAGGGAAGGGAGGAAGGGAGGAATAAAGAAAGTTATATGAGGATGGCTCAAGTACTAGACCAATGACTAGCATTTGTAAGATCTTAATTTCAAACACAAGTACCATCAGCGAGAAAGAGTAGGGGAGTGAGACAGAGAGAGGAAGAGAGAGAAAGAGACAGAGACAGAGGGAGAAAGAAAGAAGAATGAAACAAAAAGAGAGAAGTAATACGAATTAAACAACCAAGTATTTAAACAACTGGGGCATGAACTTCTGAATCATACACGTGTGGAAACTTTCATTTATTTACCAATACATGGTATTAGCTTTCTAATTCATCCTGAAAGGGATAGCAATTAGACAAACAAAAATACTCCAACACTTCCTAAAACACATTTGAAGATGTAGTAGCTGCTACATGGTATTTGTTGAGTGCATACTGTAGAAATTCTGGATTTTTCTAATGACTCAGGAATACCTGTAAATCATTAATATTTGTTGATTGAATTAAAACAATATAATTTATATTTCATTAATTTATGACAACTTTTGGAAGAATGTGACATAAGCACTACTTCTTTTTCAAAATAAATGTGAGATATAGAAAAACAAGGTACATGCAATCATGTTTTGTCCATAAAGCCAAATATAAAGATAGAGACAGAAATATACAAAATGGAAAATAATTCTCTAAACCTTCTAAAGAAGATATTTTTGTTTCCTGGCTAGATGACTAGATAGGTGATTGTAGTTTTTCTGATATATTTAGTTAGAATTGACAGTGAAAAAATATTTTATGAGCTGTTCTACTCAGATGCAACTCTGGTGACAAAAGAGCATTCTTTGGACAAGATGATATCATGAGACCTAATGTGCGGGGAAAGGACAAAGTGGGCTGGCAATGAATTATGTATTTTGGCCTAGGAACAATGTGACAGTGACACAATAAATGGTATTATAGATATTTTACAAATGAGCTTAAATACTTCTCTGTTTAATTTTGGTCAAGCATCACTGCGAATTTACTCACCCTGAAATATCAATGAATGGCTCTTTTCACTATTCTTCCTTCCACTTTCACTTTGGGGTCCAAACTACCAGTATTCATTTGAAATGTTACCAAATCTTTGAATGTAGAGCCCCTGATTCTCCAGGCTTTCTTTACCTTTTAAGAGGCACCACCTTCAAAACTACTCCTTCAGCTCTGATTTCACCTCAAAACTCCAGATGATAGTCAATAAAAGCTAGCTTTTTTGGTGATGAAATATTTGAATTTCAATCTGATTGTGCTTTTAAACCTTTTCTAGATGGATTGATGCCACCTACCGTGAGATTATTAATATGATTAGTGTGATGCCATACATGTGGCTCTCTTAAGCACAAATGTGTACTGCAAAAGTAACTTCTATTGTTGTCACACCAGAGGCAACCCTTGAAATATTTGAGGAGATAGGAGTTCATTGTCATGGATATTCAAACACCAGAAACTGAACAAGAAAGAATGATTTAAATGATACCAAAATTAAATTTCTGGAAATGCACTGGTATATATCTCTTTTATCAATAGGAAGTCTTTTAATTAAGTTAAAAACAATCTTCAGTAAAATTTTTGGAAATGCAGCAGCATGTTGTTCCCTCAGTGAATGAAATGGGAATGTCAGTTACTAATTAACAACCATCATTCCAAATATAGTATAAGGTAAGAGAGTCTTAATTCACCTGCTTTTGAGGTTCTCTAATTAATAGCTACTATCCTAGCGAATGTATTTTTATGAGACAGTTCCACTAACTTTCTTTCATTCTTTCTGTTATATTTCTAGACAAGCTAGCAGTTTGTGGTGCATACACTTATCAGTGAGCGAAGCAAAGGTTAAGTGTGTATGACACAGATGAGCCTCGAGATTAAGTATACACTGTGAAATGCATGTGGATGTTCATGATTTAAACCAATGAACTGTGGCCTGAAATGATGTCACACGAAGCGCAGCGGTAAGTGGAAGGTTAAACCTACTTGCATCTCGGCTCATTAAACGCAGTTAAAGTGCAAATCCCCTCATTCTGACAGTAGTGATCACAAGGGTTCTCTTTCTGGTCACAGCGCTGACTTTTAAACCCCACAGAGCATCTGCAGAATTCCAGTAAAATACAGCTAAATAAACCATCTAACTTTTAATTTTTTTGCCAAATGTTTCAAATTCATTTTATACAGAGATAGTAACATAGGAACAAAAATGCTTCCAGAAATGCCCGTTTCTCTCTCACACAGGCTCTCTCATCTCCACACTACACTGACAAGTTGGAGAATAGGATGCCCTTGTAAATTACGCATGTATTCCATCCCCTAGAGAACTACAATAAAGCAAAACTCAGAAACTACATGATTTCATTCCAAATTCTGTTCAGGGTCTTTATTCCACTTTGGACCATCTGATTAAGAGGTAATCAAATATTTGTAATTTAATATGATTGTTCTTTAGACACTTTATTAGGTATGCTGGTTATGTTCCAGGTAATACATTAAATTTCAGACATTTTCTGGAACAATCCAAAAATTCCAATGCATTCTTGGGTGTTTCCAGATCCAGACTTGATTTAACATAATCTAAATGACCCTTGGCCTTCATTGGTTTTTATAATACTTTACACTAACCTTGATATAAACATAGACTAGCATTATACATTAAAAACAAATAGATATCTCAAGTTCTTTTGAAAAGGATGGCAACAAGTATCAAATGATTCATCAATCATGATTATCTCTAGGATTTACACCACTAAATATGATCAATAAAATTAGAGCACTTCTTCCCCTCCCCCTGAAATTTCCAAATTCTAAGATTTGTGAATGTCTGAAATGATATGATGCTCAGAACCAAATGAGTTCTTTCTCATGAAATCATTAGCAAGTTGATGAAGATTCTGTAACGCATGAGCCAATGGGGGACAATATTTGATCTGAAGTATCCATGAAATACCTACTTAATATAAGTTGCCACAAGAGCAATAAAACTAGGCTCACATGTACATATGAATACTCACAGACACACAGGTACATTTGTCTCAGGGTCCAGCTGGCATGTGCCACCATTGTAGCAGTAGCCATCACATAACTGACAGCTGGAGGCTATCTTTCCATTTGTGCAGCTGTAGCAAAAAGAAGAAAACAATCCCTGTGTTATCACTGTTGAACACTGACACAAAATCTCTGTGGCAGAGAATACTCATTATATAAAAGTAAATAGAGGTGTTTGCATTTTCCTAAATACAGACTAGCTTCAGGCAGTTATTGTTATCATAATGATCACAATTAAATTTCTTGTGAATTTCAATGCATTTTCTAACATTAAAATTCATGCTAGCTGGATGCATGTGTGGGAAAACAAACTACAATGCCCACTATATACTCTTCATGTGGCAATTAGATATGTTCCTTGATCTTTTTTTTTTCTACACCATGAAGATCTGGTAATTTCTCTGTGACTGTAAGCCACATGATGAAATACTCTAGTAAAATAATATAAGACTTTATTTAATGTAATGTTAGAAAACTTAAATCCCACCATTGCTAAGAAAGTATGAGGTTTACTTTGATCGGTTTACCTTACTGTTTATCTTTGAATATATAATTTAATTAGTGTCAATGTCAAATTATTTATTATAATAGAAAGATGGAGCAATTTTCTGAAAATAACAATAATGTTATAGGAAGAATGTTCATTATTACAGCAAATTAATAAAGCAGGTATCCTTGAAAGCTTTCTTAAAGTCATACTACATTTCTGGGACAAGAATAAAAAATTATTATTATTCTACTAGAGAAATGGGCTTAGCAATAATAGTGAAATAAAATAAAATTATTTTTGCTATATTATATTATTGAATAGGCAACTTTTTGCATTGTATCATGGAAATTAATGGTGGAGCAGAAAAAAGTGCATTTTCTTTCCACATTATTAAGAATCTTGCACTATTTGAAGGCAGAAAATAAGAATATCATTGTTAATAATAGAAGCACCATATATCATGCTGAAAATTTTGCCACATGATTACACTTGCACTTGGTACTATGAAAAGACAATTTTCTTTCTAGTCATTCTGGTCATTACCTTGGCCAAAAAAAAATTCTTCAGTAGGAATATTAGATCATTTTGATCCTTCCCATGATAGATGCCTAAGCAGTTCATCTAAGATATGTAAGATGCTTTAATAATATGGTTAGCATAACCATTTTATTATTCTATCAGTATATACTTGACCTTATGTGGGTTGTGTGGCTGCTAGACATGCACTGAAGTGCTTATAATGTTCATGGGTTTTTAATTTGAAGGTAGTTAAAAAATTGAAACAAATACATTTAAAGATGAACAAAAAGTGAATAAAATCTGTGTGAGATCTGCAATGAGGATGTGTGAAAATGGTCCCAAACATGTAGAAAGAAATAGCTATCTAGCATTTCTAAGATATATTATCAAACATAACTTCTTTCATCGTCTATGCAAGCACTGAAATATGGACACAAAGTGAAAGAGGTTCACAGTCAATCGTATTGCTGTTTGATATGCTAAATAGATCTGAGGGTATTTTTCTTGTCCTTCATGCCCAGCTTCCTTCAAACAAGAAAGTCACAGTTTCTTGTTCTATCAAAGCGACAGTGTAAAGGGAAAGTCAGCTCATTTCACATTAAAGGATTCTCTACAAAATGATAACGGAATGCCAAACCTATTATCAAAAAGTGAGAGTAACAATTGTAATGAGTGTTATTAAAACTTCTGCTTCAGGCTGGGAAGGTGGGTCAGTGGTAGAGTGCTTGCCTTGCATGCATGAGGCCCTGGGTTTGATTCCTCAGCACCACATAAGCAGAAAAAAAACAGAAGTGGTGTTTTGGCTCAAGTAGTAAGGCGCTAGCCTTGAGCTGAAGAGCTGAAGGACAGCACCCAGCCCCAGAGTTCAGGCCCCACAACTGCCACACACACACACACACACACACACTTCTGCTTCCTAACATATATGGAAGGTATTGTTTCTGGGTTTTGCTTGCATTCAAAATTAGAACAGAAGTTTGTAGCTATTTTAAATGTAAAACTTCAACCTTTCAACCTTTCAACCTTTCAGATCACTACAATATTTAAAAGTGTATCCTAGAGATCAGTGAGGATATTCTTAAGAGAGGATCACAATGGCTCAATTGCTATGTACATCTTATCACTTAAAATAATAGTTATCAAAATGAATGCTAGAAAAAGAATAAGAGTTGTTATTGTTGCTGCTTTTGTTTTCTTTTCCTTTTGTCTTGTTTGCTCATTTATCTGTCTTGGGGTGGGGACACAGTAATCATGAGACAAAGGGAGCACAATACAGCAGTGATACTCTCTAGACACTATGTTGAAAATGAGCTATGCAACTTGTGGGTGTGGATAGGAGGGGGAAAACTAGGAGAAAGTAAGGGAAGGAGTGACATTGTTAAAAAAAGAAATGTACTCTTTATCAGACTTACGTAATCATAACCATGCTGTACATCATCTTTACAATAGCAATAAATAAAGAGTATGGCTAATATTTTCAGAATAATTTTCTTTTATCAAAATGTATATGGTATATACAGATATACATATAGTTTGTAACATACCCCATTTTAAAGGTGAAATATCTTTTGTCATGCATGAACAAAGAATTCTCATAAAGGTTGATATCCAATGAGTAGATCTTAGACTACTCAGAATAAGACTACTCGTCTTTCTTCAATAATATTACTTTATGTCCAGAGGAAATGAGAATATGTAATTAGCTGTACTTTAAGTATAATACTCAAAACCTAGTCTAGCTTTTACAAAAACAAGTGACTATGATCCAAGGATACATGCTGATTTAATTTTCTTACTTAGGCAAAAAAAAGTTTACTAGAGTTCTGTTGGAATTTTGTTTTAGTATCTGTTCTGCATCTATGAAAGAAAACGTTTCAATATAACTGCATATATCATTCTAATGTTAAGCAGTAAAACATTATATACATGGAAACAAACTATAATCATTTAGCATACTTCCTATAGGCCTAAAGCATTCTGCTTGAGAACTGTATAGACTAATATATATTGTATATAGACTGATAAACTCAATACTGCCATGTTCCTGTTTTTAAAGTCCCACAATGTATCTATTCAACATATAGATTTCCAAAGAGATATTTGAAAAGACAAAAACTGTAATCTCAGACTTCAACAAACTGTATTGGAAAATGAGCTGTAAAGAAGCTTGTATAGTCTATTTGGATAAAAGCATCATTGATATGAATATATATATATATATTCATATATTAGGGATATACAGGAATATAGATAGACAGATATAGATACCTGTAAAGTAAACTAAAGATCTGCTAGGCTAATGTGTGACTACAAAGATCTGTTTTGTTTGATTTGAGGAGTAAAACACATATAAAAGTGTAATTGGCTTTATGTACATATTAAAGATACACACTAACACATCATTCATACTTTTAATTACTTAAATATAATGTACTTTCCAGCAAACAAGTTGGCTCGTTTGAATAAATGTCATTCAAAATGATGACACAAATCTTTTAGAGTAAATTCTAAAATGTGAGTAAGTAAAAACTAAAAAAAATGTCGATGTCAGTAATAAAATTTTATTGTGCCTCGTTTGGCAGAGCAACATAATTCATCTGGCATGCTTGTAGGTCTCTCAGTAGAAGCTGTGGCATGGGCACTTTATGGCATGTTTTTCTATCTTGTCTTTTCATTTATTTTACTCCTAAGCAAGGCAAGTGACAGAATACAGTCCTTTAGTGCCCTTCTTTATAAAGGCTGTTAAAAGTAGTATGAAGTAAAGATTGATCTGTGACCTCAGTAGCATAAACTTGTTTCTTGATAGAAACTAAATGGCGTTACCCTTTAATCTGTTGTTTTCAATTCACTTAGTCTGAAAGCCAAAGGTCAAGAGGCAATGCAACAAAATCAAACGTGAACACTTCCATTTTAGTTGCTTTCCAAGTCACATTATTTTTTCTAATTTTATTGTGTAATATGCATATATATACATACATATGTACATATATATGTACATATGTATGTACATATATATGTACATATGTATGTATATATATGCATATATATATTAGGGATATACAGGAATATAGATATAATGTACATATATATATATATACACAATATATGTGGTCAATATATGGAGTCATTTAACAATGGTATGACAAAATGAGTGGCAGTCTTTTGTTTCTTGAGTTTGCCTTTATAAATGAATAAACTGGATATTTACTTACTTGCAAAATATATCTTCACTCTCTTTATTTATAATACAGTGTCCCCCATGGCACCTTATGCATTTGTCAACCTCACATTTTAATCCTTCATAGCGGGTTGGACAGACACATTCAACGCTGCCATCATCTCCAATGGTACATGATTCAGAATTCACACAATAGTGGTGACATACATCTAGGAGTAAGGCATAAGCAAACGATTAAATCATATGAGGTACTTTTTAAGTTATAATAAATATTAGTAGGCCATTCAACATGTAAGATGCCAAACAATTGATATTTTCAAACAGCTTGCACAAAGATACAAAGTAATCTTCTCTTATAAATTGATTTCTAATGATTTTTAGTTTTGTCTACGGTTGACTTGTTTTCATGTTCTAATGGAGAAGACAGTTTTTTACATATTAGCTGAAAAACTCAGTTCTGAATTATGAAACTGAAGCAAAAAAAGATTCTTTAGCATTCCTTCTAATGAATAATATCACTGTGTTTGGACTGAGAAGAAAAAAAATCTTGGTTTCTTTAGATATCAATTAGCATTGCTCTTCCTCAGATTTTGTTTTCATTTGGACAGAATACTTTGTAAAGAAGTATTGTTTTTGTACCAACACTCATGTGCTCAAATAGACTCATGCATTTTCTAAATGCTAGGACAGGGTATTCTTTGAACTCCTGGAGGAAAGATGCTAGAAAAAAAGGATGATATGTTCTTCCACTCATCTGTGGTGAGAGCAACCCATCAGACAGAGAAATAATCAGTGCTAGTCATCTAAACCTTTTACTTTAAAAGATGCTTTTTAACTGATTAATGCAAACAACAAAGGAAAACTTCCATAGAATATTTCTATAGCTCTTGCAGTATTATAATATATTACTTTAATATGAACAAGGTCTATTATCTTATTATATCGGATCTTGAAAAATTAAATTAACCATTTAAAATTTAGTTATATTGCTTCTGCCTTTCAAAAATCAGATATATCTACATGTATATTTATCTATGAACATAACATAATTTCATAATTTAAAAATATTCATATTCATAATGCAAATAACCTTAACCATATCTGATTGAATAGATCTCTGATTTTATAATTATGAGCTGCAATTTCCTTTAGCTACTTTGTTGTGTAGCAAGGTTAAATGAGACTAGCTGAGATTAAAAATCAAAATTTAGACCCTTTAACCTGCTGTATGACTATTATAGTGAGTAAGGAAAATTAAAACATCATTTATAATTTTCATGTTTGTGTTCTTATTTAGCCTTTTATTAAATCAGACAGAAATTAAATTTATTGACAGTCTTGTTTCATATTTATGGAAATTTATTGCAAGCATTCTTATACTTGCTATTGCATTATGCCAAGGCATCTCATTTATATTCAATGTTTGAGCCTATTAATATGCATTTGGATTGCATGTAAGAAAAGTAACATTTTCAAAAGGTTAGAATCTAGAAGAACTGAAAATTAAGTCAGTGTTATGGATTTGTAATTGTACTGGTTGGGTACTTACAGTGCCTACAACAAAAATTCTGTGGATATCCAAGAAAAATGTATTAATAACAGCCCATGTAATCATTCACTGAAAATTTATTCAATCCCTTTATCTCTGGAAACAATTTTCATTAGATAACCTGCGTTAGTCAGTATCTGAAGCAACCTTCATCAGGGTTTTCATTGACAAAGAGCTCTCTTAGTATTGTGTGTAACTGTCAAACTTCATCTGGGAGTCTTGGTTCAGCTGTGGGATGTGACATAGATCTTTCCTTTATGCTGTTTTCTACAATTTCCATATCAAATAATTCATTGAAACCACACAGGACTTATATGCCAACATTACCTGGTGTCCATTCTTGTATTAGAACTTTTAGATATGGAATGGGCTCTACATGGTGCCCATGGCACTCATTCACTAACTAGAATCTGGAATATAGGGAATATAAGAAATAATGAACCAGAGAGATTGTATTGATTGGTGAAGCATCTATAGTAAATGGATTCAATTAAATTGAAAGTCCAACTTAGTCTTTGACCAATACTAATCACTCTAATTAAAATATGATTTTTAATCTAAGTATTTGAACTATTTTCAATAACCAAGTCTCTAAAAAGATGAAAAATTATGAAAAACACAAACAGTGTGGCTAACATTCCAAAGGTTGATGATTGCTTAATACTTTGGAATAATGAATGTCTTTTATAATATGTTAAATATTGATAATTTTAACGCACAGATTACAGAAAACTTGGAATAAGTGTAAAAGGATGTGAGAGTGCAATTGAAGAGTCAGCAAAAAATACAAATTAACATTTCAGCAAAACAAATGCCATCAAATTGACAACAGCACAATTCTCATCTACTATAAGTGGAAGCGAATAATGGTTCAAACAATCTAGAAAATAATTAACATCATGAACTCTACTTGAGAATGAATATATATACAATCATCTCCAACTAAGGTGTACTATTCTCAGAGAAATGATTTTATAACTAGGCCCACATTGAACTTCACCCAAAGGTCCATCAGAAGAATGGACAATGGGATTCACTGACATGATGAAGTGTGCACAAAATGAAAACACAGTCATCACAGGCAATAATGTGGACAAGTCTCCCAGAAATAATGTTGACAGAAAATGATGGATGCAATATATATGTATATGAATATGTATGTGCTTATATACATATATATGTGTATATATGTGTGTGCTTATGTATATATACACACATATGTATATGTGTATATGTTTATATGTATATATACACATATATGTATTTATATGTATGTAAACATATATGTGTGTATATGTATATGTGTATATACACACATCTATCTATCTATCTATCTATCTATCTATCTATCTATCTATCTATCTATCTATCTATCTATCTATCTATTACAAAGTCATATGAGAGCCGAGCGTTGGTGGCTCATGCCTGTAATCCTAGTTACTCAGGAGGCTGAGATCTGAGGATCGTGGTTCAAAGCCAGCCCGGGAAGGAAAAGTCCATGAGACTCTTATCTCCAATTAACCACCAGAAAACCAGAAATGGCCCTGTGGCTCAAATGGTAGAGCCCTTGCTTTGAGCTGAAGAGCTCATGGACAGCGCCCAGGCTGAGTTCAAACCCCATGACCAATCGAAAGAAAAACAGAAAAAAGTTTAGTAGTAGTCATTAAGAAGAGAAACAAAAATATAATAAAGAAGAGGAGAGGATCACAGGGCTCAATAGCTATGGGCCTATGGTCATACAAAATGATGCTTATTGAAATGAACTCCAAGAAATGGAAACAGAGGATTTTTCATTGTACTGTTCGAGCTTTCCTTTCTTTTCTTTTTTTCTTTCTTTTCTTTTCTTTCTTTCCTTTCTTTGTTTCTTTCTTTTTCTTTCTTTCTTTCTTTCCTCCTTCCTTCCTTCCTTTCTTCTTTTCTTTCTTTCTCTCTTTTTTTCCTCATTTTCTTGTGTTTTTTCCCTGTTTTGCTGCTGTTTTTGATTTCTGTGCCCTTTGTATTGTATGTAAGTTTATATGATTTGGAGAGGGAAAGGGGAAGCACAGAAACAAAAGTGGAGAAAAGGGTGAACTAATTCATACTTACTGAACACTATGTTGGAAATGAACTATACAACTGGGGGAGAATGGTTGAGAGGAAAATACTAGGAGAAAATGAGGGATGGTGTTCAAAAAGAAATGTACTCATTAATTGACCTATGTAACAATAACCTCTGTACATTACCTTCACAATTAAATATGGATCATTTGCAGTATCATGTATGCAGGCGGTGTTTTTTAATGAATGTTGGTTGAAACCAGTATGAATACCTAATGGTAATTTATTAAATGTATCCCTGAATTTCCCAAATTTTCTGTGTAAACTGCAATTCGATGGAGTTTTTTTTTTCTTTTAGCTCAAAGGCAAGTTCTATTAGTATGTTATTTTGCTAAGTAGGCTAGGTAGATTTTCTCTTTTTAGACAATATTTTTAAAAGAATTCATGGCCTGCTTTTTCTGCCTAAAGGTGATTTTCTATTGTACCATACTTTTTTCATAACAAATTAAGGGTACATTATTCAAGGTAGTTGTTTGGCTTTGTAATATAAATTTGGAATCCAAATAATATAAAAGAAATGTTTGCTTTGGACAAGTTTGTAAAATAAGCATATATTTGGATTTAAATTTAATAACAAATTCTAAATAACATGGTATTCAGTCAAGCCACTTTCACATTTTAAGAAAGAGGACATACATTTCAGATCTGGATCAATTTCTATAGATATTCAAATGTGAAAACATTCAATTTTTCATACTTTTCATGCTGAACATTCTATGCAGAGTTGAAAGGTCAGGGTCAGAGTTATTCAGGACATTCTAACTCAAGTAAAGCTGCTTGTAAGTATCTGCCCATGAGTCTTCCATCTTCTGATATTATACATAAAATATAAGGCATCTTGAAGTTGTTGATTTATATATTAGCCTAGATTGTTGTCTGTTCTCTAGTTACAGTTCTATGGGCATGTTTTTGTTTTATTTATTTCATGTTTTATGTCCTCCTGTTCTTCCCTTCCTATTTCCCATTCTTCCAACTTTCTTTTTCATTTTTAGTTTCTAAAACCTTCTCTATTCACTTTCTCAACTCTAAGATTCCTGAACACAGAAGAAAGTAGATGTTACTTAATAAATTACTTTATTATTTTAGGTTCATATTACTACACAAGCATTGGATATGTGTAAATTGATAAAACAAACAAATTCAATCTCTTCAAGTGCCAGATGCTGTTTCAAATGGTACCATGGCATAGAAGATGTGCCAGTCCAGGAAGAATGTTTTAGATTGAGTAGTTCTATCACAGGTTATCAGTTCTTTCACAGCCTTTCTACAATTCCTTCAATATCAAGATGATGAGGATTTATAAGTGATAGAAATATCACCTTCAATTTCTTTTGTTCTCTTGCTAAACCACATTGAATTCACGAACATCTACAAATAATAGTATACATACATGCAGTGTTTTCATCTGTTTACCCCTTGTAAACTCTCAAATATTATCTATATTTAGATATATTTTGTCTCTTCAGCTATTAATCTAATGAAAGACCTACTTCATTAGTACTTTCTAATTCAACAAAATGTTTACTAATTTATCAAAATATGAATAATAATGTATGAGAAGGC